GAGATCTGAGGATCAAGGTTTGAAAGCTAGCCCTAGCAGGAAAGTCCATGAGACTCTTATCTCCAATTAACCATCAGAAAACTAGAAGTGGTACTGTGGCTCAAAGTGGTAGAGTGCCCACTTTAAGTAAAAAAGCTCAATGCCCAGGCCCTGAGTTCAAGCCCCATGAATAATAATAATAATAATGTCAAAATGCCACTAGGCTGAACTAAATAATCAAAATAATACAAATATTAGAAATTAATTACAAAATATTTGGGTTTATGAAATTCTATTTTTGTGTCTGGAATGCAAAGAAGAGTAGAAAATTAATTCCCAGTTGGAGTAGTTAATTGTACTTATAAGGGCCATCTCTTTGGTTTCCTCATTTCCAATAAATAATACTTGCTACATAGATTTCAGATCTGTTAAATGTGAATGAACTGAGAAATTTAAAAGCCAAAACATATTTATAAAATTAAAATTATTACATTTATTTGTAATAATCTTTGCAAACTTTAGTGTCCAGCATAAAATCCACCTTATAATAACTGTCTAACAATTTGTAGTTGAACAAGTTATTCATCTGAAAATTTTGTACATTTATAGTATAAGGGTTCCAATTTTTTAAAAAATTAAAAGGAACAAATAGCAAAAGTAAATCACAATGCTGCAAAGAATTAAAATATCAAAATATATAAAGGCTACATATCCATCACTACAGAAATTCAAATACAGGAAGAAAAATTCACTGCACAAGAAGGTGGCACTGTACCTAAATATCTACATCAATTTAAATAAAATGCTATTGCAAGAGAATAATTTTAAAATAGTCCTTATAAGAGATGTCAAAAAAAAGCACTTAAAATCTGAAATTTGGGGCTTAAAATATCAGAAAACTAGATTTGTTTCTTTGTATATTTTGAGTTAAATGCAAATTTTATTTTCTTGGTAATATAAATAGAAATTAATTTATAAAACATTGCTGACCTTATTCTATTAATAGGATAAAAAGTATATAATAATTAACACAATCTTCTTTGAAATTTATGAAGTATTTGTACTATTGAAAATATGTATATTATTTCTGAAAATAACAAGCATTCCATAAAGCTCTGAATGTAAACATAAATATATCATATGCTGCCAAATATAAAACAGCTATGTTTATTTTTGACAACATGTAAGACAGTAACTATATCAGCCTTTTACTAAAGACAACAATGACAACATACTTTTTTTCCAATCTGTTATTGTTAGAAAAAGAGGGCACTGGGCAGTGAAATATATCAAATATCTTTTTATCATTAGACTGTTACTTCTTTAGTACATATTTTTATTGTAAAGATACAGTACAGAGGGTTTACAGTTACATGAGTAAGGTAATGAGTACATTTACTATCAAGCATTGTTACCCCCTCCTTTGTTTTTCCCCTACCATCCCTTCCCTCTCCACCTCCCCAACTACTCCCCTCACCCCCCAAAGTTGTAAAGTTCGTTTTCAACATAGTGCTTGTACATCTCATTGTTACAATGGGTCAACCTGTATCCTTATTTCAGTATTTTGTTATTTCCTTTCCCCTTCCCAAACTAGAAAAATGTATATATAAGATGCAAGGCACCATAATCAAATAGAGTGAAAACAGGGGTTATAACAAGGGGGAAGAACATAAAAAAGAGGGCTGGGAAGGTAGCTCAGTGGTACAGCGCTTGCCTTGCATGCCTGAGGCCCTGAGTTCGATTCCTCAGCACCACATAAGCAAAAAGAAAAAAGCCAGAAGTGGTACTGTGGCTCAAGTGGTAGAGCGCTAGCCTTGAGCTGAAGAGCTGAGGGACAGCTAGCTCCCAGGCCCAGGGTTCAGGCCCATGACCAGACCCCCCCAAAAAAAAAGAACATAAAAAAGAAACAAAAAAATAAAAATTACATAGTACATTATACACACATTAAAAACGGCAGCAAGAAAGAAAACTTTGTGTGTCCCTATCTTGGGTTCATTTCACTTCGCATCATCTTATACGATCGTATGTACACAGCTTTTGAACTTTTCTGCTTGTCCTAGACATATACTAGTTACTGCAAATAAGGGAAACCATGGGACCTATGTTTCTTTGGGCCTGGCTTTCTTCACTTAATATAAATTTTTCCAAGTCTTTCCATTTCCTAACAAATGGGGCAGTAACCCATTACTTAATTCTTGACAAAGTATTAAGTATGCAGTTTGTCTTGAAACATGGAAAATGACTCATGATGACACTTATTAAAATTTATATTCCCTACATATTGCAGCATATTCCATCTTTGATGGTCAATATGTCTACATATTCTCTGTCTCTGTCTCTCTCTGTCTGTCTCTCTTTCTCTCTCTGTCTCTGTCTCTCTCTGTCTCTGTCTCTCTCTGTCTCTGTCTCTCTCTCTCTGGATTAGATTAGTTATTTAAATCAGGCAATAGCAAATCAGCTTCAGTCAAAATGAAGTCCAATTTTTTTGTGGTTGTGGGGATTAAATCTAGGGTTTCTTGTGTGAGAAAGCACATGTTCTGCAGTGGAGTTACATTCTCAGAGCCTAAAGTTCAAATGTAAAGAGCACTAAGGCCAAGTGTGGAGGTGAATGCCTATAATATGTTTATTCAGGAGGTATGGACAGAGATCTTGGTTTAAGGCCTGAGTAGTCAAAGTTATCCTGAGACCTATCTGAAAACTAAACTAAAAGTGAAAACCTAGGGATATTGTTCAAATGGTGAAAGACTTGCCTAGTAAGCAGGAAGCCTTGAGTTCCTTTCTAGTACCAAAGTTTTTTAAAATGTTTACAAAAATCTATGTATCTAACTTACAACAATCTGTACAATATTACATTATTTTAAATACAATACTATATTATTTTAAATTAAAAAACAGTAACAAAAAATACTATAAGAGTCACACTGGAATACACATAACAAAAAATTCTTGTTAAAATGAGAACATTTTAAAATATTATTTAAATAATTAATTTAGCGTTTAAACAGTGTTTCTTCTCTCCCATACAGTTTTACAGATACAGTGTACCTTAGCCATCACACACCAAATATACAGTTTTAAGTGTTAGATTACAACTACTAAACACTGAAACTGACTGGATACAGTAAAACTTTACATTAACATCCAGCAGTGTTTTTTTTAATATCTTTCCACTAAAAGTTGTATTTTCTGATCATTTTCCTATTAAAATTAAAAAGGTAAAGACCTAACAATCATTATTTATGTCTATGAGGTTATGTTTGCTTCACATATACATGTCCATTCATTCATGCATGCATAATGTTCTCGATTTATTAGTGCTAGAATATGTTACTCTTCTCTACTCAACTTTTTGTGGTTCCTTATATTCCTTATCTCTAATAAACTATCAAGCTATGCCTCTTATATTTATGTATAGATCTATCTTTAGATCAAATTATGATCTATATTCTGATTAAATATAGATCAAATTCTAAATTTATATTTGATTTTACTCAAAATTAAATTGGTCTTAAGTAAATTGCAAGTGCAAAAGTGAACTAAACTTCTCATCTTGTCAACTGGAACTGAAAAATATTGTTTCATAGTCACTATCTGCAGAGATAGTTACATATAAGATTTCAAAACAGAGTTTGGATAAGCTAATTTAAATCCTTCTGATGGTTTTTATGTGAGATAAGTCCATTTAAGAATAAGTTTCATAAAGGGAAGAGAAATCAAGATAGGTTTTATCCATATTGTCCACTTCTTTGAGTCTATATAATATGCAATAACATAACAGGATGCACACTGTGTCATCAATCTTGATTATACTACTTGCTAATTTTGTCATACAGTATAAATGACAAACTCTCCAAATATCAGTAGACTAGTCTATATAATGAAAAATGTCAAAATGACAGAATACTATCTTTGAAGCTCCTCCTCACTAAAAACTACACAGCCTATGAGATTATCTACAAAACAACCATAAAATCATGGCATAAATGTGTATACCTTGGCCAGAGCTTCCTTAAAATTTTAAGAATCTTATAAAATGAGAGTCTAGTATAAAGAACTGAATAGAATAAACTAATATCTATATGTTTTTAGCACTAATTATAACCTAAAATATTTTATATTTAGTCCTACTAGAAGCAGAAAACGAGTTTGAAAGTATTTTGGGTTTTTGTTATAGTTTACTATTTCCAAGTTAGAGCTTCTTTTTACCTTGAAGATAATCATATTTAGTTAAATGTACATGATTCTACATTTTAAGTACTTCTCATATACCAGAAAGTAAAATTTGTTATCTATTATACTTCAAATAGAAGACTTTCATGGTATATAACATATATTTCAATTATATATCTACAAATTCACAAGCTGGGGAAGTAGCTTGTGAATGTTTGCCTCATTTGATCCCTAGCAATGAAAACACATCAGTACTGATCGGGAGATGCAGCTCAGTCTTAAGAGTGCTTGTGTAACATTTCTAGGAACTTGGGGCTTCTTAAGTTTAATCTACAGCACTGTAAAAATAAGCAAATAAAACTTCAGACATAAAAATTTCTCTCATAAGGATTGTGGTTCAAAGCCAGCCCGGGCAGGAAAAGTCCATGAGACTCTCATCTCCAATAAACCACTCAGAAAACCAGAAGTGGAGCTGTGGCTCAAGTGGTAGAGCGCTAGCCTTGAGCTGAAGAGCTGAGAGACAGCACTGAGGCCCAGAGTTCAAGCCCAGCAACTGACAAAAAAAATTCTCTCATAAAAATCTGTCAACAAGAAATGTATTCATTACCTTACTCAATGTAACTGTAACCCCTCTGTTTGGAATCTTTACAATAAAATAAAATTAAAAAATAAAGATATGTCTTATTCTTAAAAAATCTGTCCTATAATTTGAAATAGTTTATTTATTATAATTGCACTTATTTACCATTAATTTACCTTAATAAATTCCTTCAATACTTTTTCTTCTTTCCAATTATTCCAATTTCTTATAAGCTAAAAATGGTACTTAATAAATTAACACGATTGCTTACCAGGCAAGAATCTGCTTCTCCTTCTTCCATTGGCTCTTCAACCATTTTATTACCATTTATCTGAAAAAAAATATTTAAAACTTAAGGTTCAAAATAATAGTAATAAAAACAAACAAAACACAACCCTAAGAATTTCCCTAACAAGGTCCATACTTACTAGAAAATATAAATCCACAGAGAAGGCAACTGGACAAGTAACACTATTAATATAATTCCCAGATTCTCCATGAAATCTTTGATTTCTCCAGAGCTTTATGTTTCATTTAATTTTGTTCAGAATTCTGTTATAACATATGACCATAAACTAAGTATATGAACTATGTATTTTCATTAAGATTGTCCTCAACCAAATGTTTATCATATGAAAAGCTATAAAACCATAACTTGCATATAGTCAAAGTAAATTAGGATAAGACGGGTTTTATATAGTTATACAGTTTTTTAATTCCTCTCATCATAGGATTCTGTTTAAAATCATAAGACACTAGTCAAAAGAATAAACTATAAGGGAAAGCAGTAAGTGGCCATGGAAACAAAATTAATTCAACATACAAATCTAAGAAGATAATTATGCATACTTTTCAACTAGAAATAAAAGGAAAAGTTTAGAGAACTTAGCTCAAAGGTTTACACACTATGACTCATGCATGGGCCGAATCTGGTCTACTGACTATTTCTGCAAAAAAATTTACTAGCAATACCATGTTTCCATATTATCTATGACTGCTTTCACACTGGAAGAGCAGAGTTGAGTACCTGAGACAGAGACTGTGTCTACAAGATATCTAATATTTATTATTTTGCCCTTAACAGAAAACATCTGACAATCACTGTTTGAAAATTAAGCAAAAAAGAGCTAGTTTAGAAAAAAGTTTTACCATGGCTCATTGGAGATCTTCTAATTCTGTGTATGAATCAATGTAACTTATGGTCTCAACAACAAACTGTATGCGTAGGGAATACAATCAAATAAGTCCAATATAAAGTATTGGTCAACACTCACACTAAGCCCTGGCTTAGAATGCATGCTGAGAGGCAAATACAGAACACTGGTACAAATACTTTGAAAACTAGACTAACTTTTTGGAACCATTATCCAGAGGGAAAGAAATGACTTTGTAGTCAACCAAACAAGGTAGAATGCTTGCTGAAAAAAGCAAGAAAAAAGTGTTACCAATTCCAAATGTACTCAAATGTTCAAATACCTGTTAAACACTAAAACAGCTATCCTAACTATGCTATTTAGGAGAAGAAATAAACATGCCTGAATGGAATGATAAAAAGCTCTCAGCAAAGAAATAGACTATTAAAATACAAGACTCAATAAAGAAATTACAGATGGAAGAAGATATAGTAATGCTGAAGACAGATCATCAGAAATCATACAATGTGAAGTGAAAATGAGTAAAAATAAACCAACTGCTACTTGAAGCAGCAATTTTACTACTGTATTCATAACCAAAGAAAATAATATCACCCTGTTAAAAAAATACCAGACTCCATGATTCTGCAGCACAATTGGTAATACGCTATCAATCATATAACATGATGTAATATTTTATGATAATCACTATATGGTATCAACCTAAATGTCTGCCAACAGATGAACACATAAATAAAAATTTGGTATATATACATGATAGAATACTATTGAATCATTAAATCTCTTCTGAAATAAAACAGATGGACCAGGAAAACATTATATTAAGCTAAACAAGTCAGGCTCAGAAGACAAGCACTGAATAATCTCACTTAAATGTAGAATCTAAACCTTAAAACATTGATCTAATAGATGTTGAAAGTAAATTAGTTTTACCAGAAGTTAGGGAGAATAGGAAGGAAAGGAGAACAGGAGATGTGAATGTATAAAGTTAACAGACAGGATAAATAGGTTTTGGTGGTCTATGCACAGAAGAATGAATATAATTAATGTATTATTATCTTAAAACAATTAGAAGAATTTCAAGACAGTCATCATGAAGAAATGATAAAAATTGTAGGTGGTAATTACCCTAAGTTGATCTTTATCAAATGTATACATAAATCAAAACATTATACTATACCTAATACAAATGGTTGATCAAGAAATAAATTTGAAAAATAAGCAAGGGGTCAGAAGGATGTGGAATACTATATGATGGTCCAAAATCCATGTTATTAACATCTTATAAGAAATACAGCCAGAGCCGGGAGCTGGTGGCTCAGGCCTGTAATCCTAGCTACTCAGGAGGCTGAGCTTCTAAGGATTGAAGTTCAAAGCCAACCCGGGCAGGAAAGTACATGAAACTCTTATCTCCAATAAACCACTCAGAAAACCGGAAATGGCAAAGGAACAGTGGCACAAGTGGTAGAGTGCTAGCCTTGAGATGAAAAGGCTGAGGGACAGTGTTCAGGCCCAGAGTTCACGTCCCATGACTGACAAAAAGAAAGAAAGGAAGAAAGAGAGAGGGGGGAGGGAGGAAGGGAGGAGAGGGAGGGAGGGAGGGAGGGAGGAAGGGAGGGAAGGAAAGGAGAGAAGAAGGTAAAGCAGGAAGGGAGGGAGGGAAGGAAGGGAGAGAAGTAGGTAAAGCAGGGATGAAGGGAGGGAAGGAAGGAAGGAAGGAAGGAAGGAAGGAAGGAAGGAAGGAAGGAAGGAAGGAAGGAAGGAAGGAAGGAAGGAAGGGAGGGAGGGAGGGAGGGAGGGAGAGAGGGAGGGAGGGAGGGAGGGAGGGAGGGAGGAAGGAAGGGAGGAAGGAAGGAAGGGAAGGAAGGGAAGGAAGGAAGGAAGGAAGGAAATACAGCCAGGTGCTGCTGGCTTATACCTGTAACCCTAGATACATGGGAGGCTGAGAATGGGAGAAACAGTTCAGGGGTAGCTCAGTCAGAAAAATTTTAAGAGACCCCTTCTCAATCCATACATGCAAGCATCTTAAATGAAATGCAAGAATGACATAGGAAGGATGGCATTTCTCAACCAGCCCAGAGACTCAAAAAGGACTCAATAAATAGTCACAGTGAAAACACACATGATGGCACAAGCTTTTCATTACATCAATGATAGGAAGCCTACTGTGGTCCAGACCTATGCCCAAGTGTGAAGCAAGAACATCTATCAACAAGCACAAAAACTAAGATGGCAGTGGTAGCTCAGTCCTGTAATTGTAGCTACTCAGAAGATTGAGACAAGGAGGATCATGGTTCAAAGCTAGCCCAGACCCAGTCAACCAGGAAAAAGCCAGCTGTGTGGTTGTAGTGGCAGAGCAGCTTAAAACCATGAGGAAGAATTTGGTGTGTGTGTGTGTGTGTGTGTGTGTGTGTGTGTGTGTGTGTGTGTGTGTGTGTGTGTGTGTGTGTGTGTGTGTGTGTATTCTATATATACAAAAATTCTACATATATAGAGTATATATATATATATATATATATATACTCTATATATGTAGAATTTTATATATATATATATATATGTATATATATATATACATAATGGAATTCTATGCCTCCATCAGAAAGAATGACACTGTCTCATTTGTTAGGAAATGGAAAGACTTGGAAAAAATATTAAGTGAAGTAAGCCAGGCCAAAAGAAACCTCGGTCCCATGGTTTCCCTTATTTGCAAATAACTAGCGTATGTCTAGGACAAGCAGAAAAGGTCAAAAGCTATGTAATATGACCATGTAAGATGATGATAAGCAAAATGAACCCCCAGATAGAGAAACAAGTGGTTTTATCTTTCTTGCTGTTGTTTTTAATGTACTTATAATGTACCATGTGATTTTTTTGTTTCTTTGGTATGTTCTCCCCATGGTATGACCCCTGTTTTCACTGTATTTGATTCTGGTGCTCTGCAACTTGTCTATACACTTTTCTAATTTGGAGAGGGGAAAGGAAATAACAAAATGCTGAAATAAGGATATAGGTTGACCCATTGTAACAATGAGATGTACAAGACACTATGTTGAAAACGAACTTTACAACTTGTGGTGGGGGGAGGAGTTGGGGAGGTGGGGTGGGAAGGGATGGTAGGGGAAAAACAAAGGAGGAGATAACAATGCTTGATAGTAAATGTACTCATTACCTTACTCATGTAACTATAACCCCTCTGAACAATAAAAACTATACACAAAAAAAGAACTCGGGGCCCTAAATTCAAACCCAGATAGAGAAGACACACACATAAAAGAAACACAAAATGACTGGAGGTTAGGCACAAGAGTAGAGTAACTGCCTAACAAGATGAATTAAAATACTCCTACTAACTGGGTGCTCACACCTGTAATTTTAGCTACTTAGGAGGATAAGATCTGAGGATCTCAGTTCAAAAAAAAACAAGAATACAAAAGTCCATCAGACATTTATCTCCAACTAACCAGCAAAGAAGGCAGAAGTGGGGCTCTCGCTCAAGTAGTATAGCAAAAAAAAAAAAAAAAAAAAAAAAAGCTCAGGGACAGCACCCAGACCTTGAGTTCAAGTTCCAGGACTGGCACCAAAATTATAAAAAAAAAAGTATTGACAAACAAAGAAAAGTAATGGAGTCATGAAGACAGTTGGGCAGCCTGTAATCCAATTATTCCCAGGGCCAGGGCTAAAAAAAACACAAATTCCATGAAATTCTGTACTACATCATGCAACCATATCTAATAACAAAAAAGAATGATAAAGGTAAAATGATAAAGGCAACACCTTTAACACAAAATGTTGAAAACAGGGAATTCTATAACAACCAAGTGTAGATTAGTGGTTGTTCAGGACTGGGGTAAAAGAGAGGGAAGGTGTGTGTGTGTGTGTGTGTGTGTGTGTGTGTGTGTGTGTGTGTGTGTGTGTGTGTGTGTGTGTGTGTGTGTGTGTGTGTGTGTGTGTGTGTGTGTGTGTGTCTAGGCTTGAACTCAGGACTCTGGGCACTGTCACTGAGCTTTTGTGCTCAAGTCTAGTGCTCTACTCTTGAGCCTCAGCTCACTTCTGGCTTCTTTTTTTGCGGGGGTGGTTAATTGGAGATAGTCCCAAGGACTTTCCTGCCCAGGTTGTCTTCGAACCACAATCCTCAGATCTCAGCCTCCTGAGTAGATAAGATTAAAGGTGTGAG